ATGTTTCTGTAGCTAGAAATCACACTTGAAAAGTTGTTATCATGACAGGTCTGAGCACCTAATAAGCAAAAATGAGAAGGGAAAGACACATTATTTAAAAAGGAAGTACTTAACAAGTCTAATGTTGCCTGTGGTCATCTTTTTACACAATCCGTGCATCATCATCAGTTTATATTTTAGAACATTTAACAAGTCCAAATATACAAATCTTACTGTAGCAAATCTATAAAGACTTGACTGATCATTTATAACTGTTCAACTGAGAGCATTACAAACAAAACAGACTGTGTAGAATTGTCTGCAGCTGAAAAGGGCTAGCCATGTAAGAAAAGGCTACAATAAAACCAGGCCACTGTAGCACAATGAATGACTTGTGCTATGACCATGAGTAGTCTGCCCTTAAAAACGTCATAACACTAACTTCTGTTGATACTTTGCAGCTATGTCATTAACGTTCCCTGAGGGTGTGATGCTAACGGTAGACTCTGCTCTGTTTGATGCTTTATTAGACTTAAATCTGTGCTTTATTTTAACACAATCTGACCATAAAGAACAGTCACATTTACCATTTGCGTTGAAAATCGCAATCAGTCACACCTAAACAGGACCATGTGCTCTCATATTGATCACAGGCTCCTGGAAATGTGTTTTTTAGTGTTTTTTCTTAAGTTTCCATGTAATATTGAAACCTTTTGACTGTATTTGCTAATGTGTGCATGTTTGTCACGATGGTAACTCCTAAACTTTCCACCATTAGAGGTACATGTAGAACTCCCCCAGCATGCAAAGTATCAGTAATGCTTTGTTCCGAATTTTCAAATGGGATGTTTGTTGTGTGTGATTCAAACTTGCTGTCACTGGGTTGTAAATAGAAATGGCATTTGTGAGTAATAGCTGTCGGTCAGCAGAGGGGGACAGAGGCTCCAAAGAGCTTCCAAAATGTTCATTAACTCCAGTCTCTTTGTGACACAGACACTATATTCTCTGCAGTTTGGGTGTGTTTCTTCATAGACGGACGGTGATTTTCTGCTCTGCTGCTCACGAATAATTGAGTTGATTAGACGGAGACAGAGGTGAGGGGAGGATTATGGCAAGTCCTGATAGAGGAGTCTCATAAATACACAGTAAAGCGAAAGAAAGTTAAGAATGTCATGGCTTTGGTTTTACATTCCAGATTAGTTAAAATGACACTTCAGCTGTGATGTTTTCTTTCACAGCATGTTATTAAATGAAATGTTTTCAGATGTGCAATATTCATATTAATAGTCTTAACCATTTATTCTAGACTCACTCAGGATTTGTGGATTTGCCTTGTGAAGAAATTGCAGTTTATTGAGTCATTCAAAACCTTTATGTGTATGAGTTATTGTTTCGCATTTAAAGGCCTGCTGTCAGCAGCAATCCTGATGATTTAGTTTTTGTTAATGCTAACTACTGCCCTTTTTTTCTCTGTGGTGTGAAATGAATCCAACTGACTGACATCTGTTGTCTTGCAGTTAAATAAGAGATGGTTTAAAATGTGAAGCCAGCACATGTTGGCGTATGCATGTGTTGACATTAGCATGTGCAAATGAGGAGGAAGGAAGTGACTGTCTGCACCATTTAATCTGCCATCTGTCCAGTGCCTGGACTGTTGTATTGTAAACACACATACACATATATACACTTTCACACAAAATTAAGATTGAGTCCACCTCAGAGAGTGTCAGAAAGGGGCGGGACAGACATTTGACATTTTAATGAATGTTGAGTTTTTTTAATCATTAGCACCTGATCCATTGTGTATGGGTGATAAGCAATCAAGCAAATTTACCACAAAACCTATCAGGCTGGATACAATCAGATAAGGGATAATAATACAATAATAATAATGAGCAGAATTGAGGAACGTCATTATTAGTTTAATTGTTTGCACACAACACTGAACATTGGATGGTTGTTATTTTGCTCAGGCACCATAACATACTTCAATGAAAAATGCCATACTCTCTCAAAGAAATGTAGTGGTGCAGATCAGTGCCAGGATTGTCCACTGTGTGATACACCTGTGATATTTAGTCTACTTATAGCTTGAAGTTGATGCTTGTTGCCTCAGTGGCCTCTCAAAAGGCAATTCAAAGGGCGCTCTTTGGACAGTTTGTGTTGGTGATAATAGGTTGAAGTTTTAGGTAATGAGCTGTTTTTTCTCTGTGCAAGTAGATTTTATATATTTAGAGTTTGAATACAGTTCTTAACCATTTTACTTAAACTTCCCTGTGCTCTGTGTGGTGCCCAAAAAATGCCCCATTTTTGGGGCACCATACAGAGCACAGGGAACAATAGTGATGGTGTTTTAAAGTGTTATTTCACTACACTACATGAAAGGAAAATAAAATACTTTGTAGCTGGCTTATTGCATGGATGTTTTTGGAAAAAAAGTCTTCCCATTGGGAGTTTGTATAGTATATTTATCCAACATGTGATTCACTGGACCCTCTGGGAGAATCACACAGCTGCAGGTGAACGTGGTTACCTTACTTTCTAATATCTCTGCTCATTAATGGATTGCTAAGCAACAGCAGCTGGTTGCCTAGCAATGGCATCAGTACGTGCTGGGTGTGCTCAAAAGTCATGCTGTAGTCGCGGGCAAAGGAGAGGGGGATGGTGTTCTATGTGTGAGAGGGAGCCATAATTCCACACTGCCGCCACTGGGACAAATGAGATATTCTGCCGAGTCAGCTCATAAACATGCATGTGGTGTGGCCCCGAAACAACCACAGCCATCAAACACGCTTTACGCTCAGCTCTGGTCTGGATAAGGGACAGAATGGGCTGGGATTGGACACGTCTTGGGCTGATGGTCAAAAGATCCTATTGCCTTATTGCTACTGGAAGTACAACCAGATATTCTGTTTGTGTGTGCGGAGTCTGGAAAAGATGGGACTAAGTGAACAATTCAGCATGTGGCGTTATACTAAGAAAAAGTCTACCAACTGAATATAAAGTGGTATTGAAATGGTATTATAGAACACAGTAGATTTACAACAAGTAGTAATCTTCATACACCACTGCGTCTGAAGCTTTGTTTAAGCCTAGTTGCATACTTTTACATTTCACTCCAAATAATCTAAGGCCCCCCGTAATTGTCTCTAAGAGCCGTTGTTGTAAGTATCAACCACAAACCACAATGACAGCTATGATGTGGGTAGGGCTGCAACTAACTATTACTGCTTTAACTAAGAATCTGAATATAATCACATTTTATCTTTTTGTCACATTGTCTGGCATCCAACCGAACAAAAACTGCTCCACAATGCATATTTTCCAGAATGGTTTTGCGTTTCACCCCCTCTTCACCCTTTTAATAACAGGGTCCCATGTTCCACTTGTAGCTTCTTTATGAGACTGAGCAGTGACTTTGGCCTGGAGCTGCTGAAGACAACTGTGAACGCTTAGACAAACAAGACAGGGATTAGTTCTTCTGCTCTCATAAAATGCCAGCAGCACTTCAGAGAAAACAGCTCTCTGTGTACTCATTGTTGCCTTTTTAAATGGCGCTGTGACAAGTCCACACTAAAATGATCATGAACAATCAGTACTCTGTTCTCCAAAACAAGGAATCTGACATTGCAGAAGGTTATGATCCGTAATAGTAAGCACATAACTATTTGACCTTTTTCATTGCTATGCCACTGCCATTCCACTGCTATGCTCAAGTTTAATGCTCATTTACCAGCTTGACCAAACTGAGCATCAGATCAGATTACACTAGATTGTCTTGTTTTTATTCACCAGTTCACCAATTCTTCTTCATCAGATTATGTGACTCTTGCTTTTCGTGCCTGTTGTTTGATCTGGTTTGTCTTCAGTGCTTTGTGATGCAGACTTGCAAGCTTCTAATCCACTGGATAAGAACCAGATTTAAGCAAGGCCCCTGCCCATCAAACATTGACTTCCTTGTACGCAGCCAATCAGAAGGGCTCAGCATAGCCATGGGAACATCATTTTGGAAGGGGATACTGAGATGTGTTTTTGTTTTTTCCCCAGAGGGACTGCAGATGTTGTATGGGTTTATGCTGTTAATAACCTATAGTATGTTTTCTGTATGCTAATCCAGCCACCTGGGAACATGCAGCACAGGAAGGCATGCCCTCCAAACTGGACTGCAAACATATGAAAGGACAAAACCGTGATAAAAAAAGAAAGCCAAGGAAGAAACTTGAAGATACCACTACAGATTCATCCTCCACAAAGCCAAATTAGACCTTCAACACTTCTCAAGTAGGGCTTCACAGCTACATCAAACATGAGAACAGGAACTAAGAATCTATGTTCTATGGAGACTGCCATGCTGATGAATGACATGTAGTATCGACCTATGTCACCCACTCAAAAATAACTTCTCATCTAATGTGTGTTCTCCTCTCATCCTCCACATGTGAAGACTGTTCCTGCACATTTGGTCACCAGGGCAAAAGTAAAAATCAATGTTTAATACGTAGCATAGTGTTATTGCAGCAGCGTGTAGCCAATAGGTCTTTTTATTCTATCTGCAAAATGCATCGTCCTCCTCCTGTTTGTGACTATGTAAAGTAAGCCTAATACATCCACACCATGAGCACAACGAGCACTATCTGATCCACAGCATCACAACAAGCACAGCCTTACACACTGTCTGTGACAGCCCATCTAGCTTCAGTAACTTCTGAGAGCAACACTCTTGCTGGTTGCTGTCTTGCGCAGATTAAGCAAATTCCTCCTCTATGAGACAGGGATTCATGGATTTGTCCTGCTGTTTCCTTTTTTTTCCATGTGAACTCCATTCAGTCCTGATGCACTAGTTCCACTTCCAGTCAGCACCAGCCCAAATTAGCATTTTCTCTGTTCTGTCCAGGCTGCTGACCCCGCAGGACTCTGGTGTGGAGTCTGAAAGTTTAGTTTAGTTAATTTTTTAAAACAAAATTAAGATACACTCTAAAACCATAATGCCGACTAATATTTTTTTTTGTTTTGCTTCACAGAAGTGTCCAGCCATGTTCCGAAACAGTCTGAAGATGCTCCTCGGAGGCAGAGGTCGCAAGAACACATCCAGTGGTTAGTACAGTGCAGTGAAGTGCATTGGTTTATTACTTGTGTTGGCATAAAGTTTATTCTTCATTAAAACTACACATTTTACATCTGAGACAGAAATATAATTATTCAATTGGCTTTAACATGTCAAATTTGTATTAAGTGTCATGTCAATCTCACATGAGAAATATCTTTTTATTCAGTCTTTTTTTCTTCTCTGTCATAATGTCATTCTCAGGTGGCAGTAGCATTGAGTCTGACGGATCAGACGTCAGAATAATGGAAGGATTCTCTCGGTCACTGCCATCTTCTCCGCTCCTCAATCTTCGGCTGGCCAAGAGACCAGGTAGAAGAAGCTCTATCTACGTAACACGATATACAAACAAATCAGATGGAAGAGGAAATTTAAACTAGGGATATAATGATACCCAATTCTCTCAATACGATATTTTCACAATATGCATCTCATGGGATGATATTTATTGCGGTATTTTTTGTAGGCTAACAAAATTGTGAATATGCTACTTTTCTCTCATCATAATCCAAATAATTAAGATGTGCTTAATAACCGTTATTTCAACATGTTGATTGGACTGAAACAGCGCAAAGGATCATGGTCTGTGTAGTTGCCTCAGTTTTTAGTTATTGCTGCACCATAACAATGAATTTAAGCAGATAAACTTATGATTCGATATATTGTGATGGTCCATAATATTATTGTGAGACTTTTGACGATGCGATATCAGATATTTTGGTTATTGTTACATCCCTAATATAAGCTAATGAGGCTTCAAAATGTTATTTTGAAAGTAGTTGGGTGAAGAAATCTGACATTTTGACCATATAATTTGTCCAGATTTCTTAGAACCAAATTAGATACTATATTTAGTATTTTTGGAAATATTTTTGTATATTATAGAACTTACAAGAGTTTAGCATTAATTTGTTTTTGCTTTGTTTTTTTCTGATGTATGCTGGCTTTGATTTAGTCCTGTTTTCTGAAGAGATTTAGAGCAGCTCACCCCACACTGCTCATTAGATCATTTGTGTGGAACTTAGACAGAGAGAGATGTAACCAAATGTAACCTAAGCCCATGGTAACTCAACAGCTCCTCCTCTTCCTCCTCCCCGGGGCTGAGCTGACACACTTCTCCTAAACATTAACATGTGCAGTCTCTCCCTGGGTCTCCCCTGTAGTTTCCTCTGTCAAAACACATGCCGTAATGTTCACCACGGGCTATTCAAATCATCTATATTATATTATTGCTCTAATACTTATACATAACAAAAGGAACATGATGGTTTTTTTTTCTGCCTTTGTCATCACTGCTGTTAAGAATGAACAAAGATTTCAGATTTGTCACGGTCAGGTCATTTTGGAACATCTGGTAATAACATTGGGTGTTTAGACTAACCATCTTGGGCCTGCAACGTCTGCTTTGCAAATTATCTTCTTTTAATATTATTTTATGAAGCAGTTAAAGCTCTCGTAAATAACTTTGTTTTTCACACTGTGTCAATAAGTGCCGACTCTGAGACTGAGTGATGGAGCACGAACCCACTAACCCAAAGTTTCCCGGTTTTATCTCTTTTATCTTAAAACCAGTGCATTATGATTAAAATAGAGTGGTTTCTACGTACAGTACAGCAAAACTAAAAAGTTAGGGGAAAAGTTCATGTGAGTTTTGGCAAATAAGTATTACCACCAGCAGGACTCTTTCAGGATTCTTGCTCTGCTGACCTCGTTCAGTCTTCAGTTTCTAGGTAAACTTTTCCTCGAATGCCTCATGTAGCAGATTACACAGCGTAGCTCCTCCTGTGGCCGTCCCTCTCTCTGCATGTGTGCGTGTGCAGTGCTGTGGGGTTGGAGGAGGGGACTTTTGATTTGCGGTGCAGTCAGACGAGGGAGGTCGCCTTTCAGCCCAGATATGGAGGTCCTGCTGTTGAGACAAAAACTTTCTGAATCCTCCGGACCCTTTCTTCTCATTCTTTTGATTAGCATGCACATGATCTTTGGAGAAAAACAAAACTTTTAAAACATGCATGTTTGTCTTTTTTTCTTCTGCGTGTTTTAAACTTTGCTGTGAGTGAAGAAGGATTTATGGCTAACAAGAGCTACATCATCTGTATGCCGTGAGTTGTGGTCAGTTTTTATGGTTTTGACTGCGAGTCCTAAACTGTTTCCGACACAGAAGTAACTAGTTTTTGTAAAGGTGTTTTTGCTGGAGCTCACACTGTACCTTATCTCATGTTTTTTTCTTTTTTTCCCTTTTTTGAGGATTTTACTTGCCTTATCACATTCCTGGCTCTCTAATCTACTCCCCTGATCCTTTGTACCTTTCAAAAAAGGAGGAGCTTTTGACCAAAGGAAGAAAACTGGAAAACATTGGTTGAACTGATATTTGGAGGACAAATACCTGAATTTATCAAAAACTCTGCATACAATGAGTTCTCTTTAACTCCGCCTACTCTCCAAAAGAAACTTTTCATATATTGGCTTCTAGCAAGATAAAATGGACTGCACAACAACAATTTTAAAAGCTTGCGCTCGCTCTAGAATTAAACTGTGCCGCCCTGACTGTTCCATGCGTCGTCCGCGGCGACGGGAGGATGACTGCGGATGCTGCGGGGATGCGATGGCGGCGCACGTAGTCGGCCATGTTTGTTCACTTCTGCAGTGCCTGCTGTTCTACGTGTGCTGCTGTCTGTCACATGACGAGAGCCCAGATCTGCGGCGTGACTGGCTTGAGTGCAGTAGCAATATAACCACGAGAGGACGACCAGGAAGAACAGAGCAGGAAGGTGGGCTTGATAATGAATAATTAGTTATGACAGGTATGGAAACATGTCAGAGCCCAGGAAGTCATTTTTGCAACGTGAAGTGCGGCCACTTAAGCTTGTTAGAATCTTTAAGTAGCTTTAAATTGTGAAGACCTGTAATACTAACTCCAGTCATAAGGTGGCAGTGAAGGCATTCTCACACACATATCCTGTGAATGTATTGGTTGAGGTCCATACTTGCTAAGAGTTTCTCAGTTTCCTGCATAAAGCCCCTGAACTGTCCTGGCCAGGCTGTGAGTCCTTTTGGTTTATAGTCTGATTTACGCAGTCATCATGGCATCAAATCATTTTGAAAAAGTAATTTGTCTTGCCAGATGTATAGAGGTGGCCTTGATACAAAAGTCAGTTTATTGCTTATGTATTGATCTATCATTGTATGCCCTTCCAAATATAACCTTGTGAAAACCAAGAGGATGTCACCTTTGGTTGAATGAGTCTTTGAAAGCTCAAAGACAATTCTGCTGACTTAAAAGGTAAACTACATGTGAAGAATAATATATACCAATCTACACAATGTACAAAGATAGATATAGATATATAAGTATTTTTCTATAGAAGTAGATTCCACACAAATAGATAGTTTACACCTTGCCTGAAGATCAAACATAATCCTTTTGACAGTACACTACAGAAAAAATCTAAACTTTGAAAACCACTAGGCTGAAAAATGAAAGCTCATGAACACCACTGTGCCACAATTTAACGAAAAATAGAAGCAGTTAAAATTCCCCAAATGGACTCGTCTGCTGTCTGTCTCTGATCCTTTCCACTTGATTTTTGTCCGACTAAAAACGTCCAGCGCACCCTGTCATTGGCTGACCACAGGGCTGCATGTTTGGGCCTTTCTTTTTGTTCCCCTGGTTTTGCTCTGTGATACTTCGGCTCCTGCTCTCCCCCAGTCCAGCAGTCAGCAGTTCATAGCCGTAATTACAGAGACAGAGAACACAAGCTTTCATGCTGTGGCTGTGGCTTTTGTGTGTGCGTCTGAGCGAGCCTGCATGTGTCTATACTTGGCATATTTAGGTCATGATAGTGAATATATTAATGTGCAGATCAATCAGTTTGCTGCTCCATTGGGCGTTCGTTACCAAGCTTTGTGTGTAATGTGTATGCAAGTTCTTCCCACACTTTGTTCTACTTGCATATCGGATTGGACCGATTCACAGATGTAGCTTTACGCTCCCATAATAGAAAGGTAGGGCTTGGGTTACCATGGCAACAGAGTACATGGGTGGAGTCTCGAGCTCGTGAAGATGGAGGCAGAAATAGTTCAATCAAAGTTTTTGGTTCAAAGCGTCTTCTCATCTTGACACATTTTAGCTCCAGGACAAGAGTCTTTCATCGCTCTCTGTGATTTTTAAATTAAAAAATGAAATCTAATAATAATGTTTTATTAAGTTATTTTTTATCCAGTTTCAGGTCTTAACGGCAATGTTAAACTATTAGCTTTGCAATCCACATTATCCTCTAGCTTGTCTAAATACATCAAAAGCTTGAAATGTATATGACCCAGTATATCGCTTTTTATTATTACACTGAAAGCATATTTTTCAATTTGGTTGTGTTTATTGCACTGACAAAGGGTCCTTACTGTGAGCAGCCTTGCATTTCCACAAACCCGACTTTTATATGGTCTGGAAGACAGACATCTCCTGTTTGTTTCTGTGGAAATATTGTTCCTTTGGCTATAATCTTCTAGCCAGACTGGTGCCACCTAGTGACCCTAGTGTGATTCTGGGCGCCAGCCAATCAGCGAAGAGCCATACATTCTCTGTTGGCAATGATTCCCAAGATCGAGGATTTAAAGCCAGAACAAAGAGAATGTTTGGTGAATTTTATCAAGGGGAAAGACATCATTGCCCTTCTTCCTACGGGATTTGGGAAAAGCTTAATATACTAGTTAGCCCCGTCAGTGATGCATTACATACATCACGACCAAATAGCAGCGATTGGTTAAAAAAAAAAAAAAAAAAAAGCCTACCGAACGAATTCTAATGCTGTGAGGTCAGACGGTTTCCACAAAGTAAGAACCAGCTGATGAATCAGGCTAATAATCTTCTGGAATAATATAAAACTTATCTATCTTCATGGAAAATGTTCCGAAGTATCTTTAACATAATTAGAGGAGGTTTCAGAACTACTTTGATCTTTTATTTTTCAACTTCCCTTCTCAAATTTTACTAAAGTAGTAATTAGAAAAACCTGTCACATGCACTTTAGACCAAACTTGTAAAAAAGGAGTATATTACAAAACAGCTGCTTATTTAACTGGCCTTTAAACCTTGTTACAAAAATATGGATATGGTTTGGTTTTCCAGGTGAGGAGGAGGAGTTGGGACCTCCACCCTCGGTCGATGAAGCTGCTGATGCGTTAATGACCCGACTGGGATTCTTATTGGGGGACAAGATCGTTGCTCAAGACTCCGCCACCACCTCCAACCCCCAGGAGGACGCACCGGTACAACAACATGCATACAAATCACTATTAGACCAATTATTTGTTAGAATTTTATAAGGACGACTGTATTACTAATTAACTTTTCAATTAATCAACTAGTTATATGATGATTTTTGTTGTATTTCATTTGAGACTTTTTAAATACATTATAAAATACATTAAGACTGACTGAAGGCTCCTAAATAGACAATATCTGTGAATAAATTTTAATATTTAGAATTTGTTTATCCTTTTTGAATTTTTGATTTAATAATACCGCTGTCTTTGTTGTAAAAGGTCTTTTCATATGTGTTTCTGAGTCTGTAGTCCAGATAACTACTCATCATTAGTCGATGAAACACTGCAGCCTTATATATTACTACTTAAATCTTAATTTTATGACACCAAGTGACATTAGTTATTTGTTCATATCACGTCCCCTTTTAATTAAAGCAGCAGAATGAGCCATGCTGCCGCTCCTTGTCCCTCATTGTAATTCTGTATTGATTTATCACTTGCACTGTCTGCCGTCTTCTCCCAGAGGATCTCTCCGTCCTCCAGCTTGGCCAGTGGCAGCACCTCCCCCTGCTCCACACTGCAGCCCCCTGCTGGAGGAGAGAGTAACAACAACAACAAGCATGCCCCGTCCAACTACGCTTCCATCACCTCTCCCTCCTCCACACTGGACAGCAGGGACAGTGGCATCATAGGTAATGCAATGAATTCAAATACAAACTCAAAACTAACTCAATTTAAATCTGATGTGAAGTAATATGTGTTGTAGTACGGTAACCAGTCATATTATACATTTCAAATTAGGGCTGGTTATCATTAAGAAGTTGTTGATACGATACATACCTCGACACATAGGCCACAATACGATATACTTTATGATACAGTGAGCTTTCGATTCAATACGATTCGATACAATATGTTTCAAACTGATTTGATACGATTCAGTGAAAAACAAAGGCTAAATCATGGCTGTGATACTAAAGTCCACTAAGTTTGTGCAAAGTTAAGATGAAAAACACTCAAAACAGTCAAAGGCTATGTTCAGACTGCAGACTGAAGTGACCCTAATCTGATTTTTTCGCCCCTATGCGACCTGTACCTGATCTTTTAATGACAGTCTGAATGACACAGATCCGATTTTTTCAAATGTGACCCAGGCCACTTGGATATGTGGTCCTAGAACTGATACATATGTGAACTTTTGACATGCGACTTCAGTCTGAACAGCCAGGTCGCATTCATTCCACCTACATGACACAAATTTACACAAACGTTCTTCTCATCATACAAAAAACTGTGAACTCGGTGTCAGTGAAGCAGTGAAGCACATATCAATCTCACAACTCTTGGCTGCGAGTCCGCACCCACACGTTCTTTTCTATGGACATTGCTGCCATTGCGCCACAAAACGCCATGGCCAAAAATCTTGTCCTTCTCCTTCTCAATCTCCTCCTTAAAACAAATAAGCTCTACACTTTCTGGTTCCAGTACGACAGCAACTTTAAAATTGCCAGGTGCTCAATGGTCGCATCCATGTTTCGGGTACTTCCGTAAACACTGAGCATGCTCCCTGTGTGACGTCATTGTGTCCTCTAATGTGCATGTGGGACACTTTTGGGGCATTTAAAGTTCACACTACAAGTCACATTTAATTGGAAATGGGAACGACCTCGAAAAATCCGAACTGAGCATTAAGCCCTGCAGTCTGAATGTAGCCAAAATGTCAACACAATTGTAGCTCTTACACAAAATTATTTTGTAAAACATACCTAAAAATACTCTTGGCGATTTATCAATACAGCTGCCCGCAATATCGATACTTTATCATCAAATTAAAGATATAATATATCGATATTTCACTATTTTTGCACACCCCTATTTCAGATGTTATTATAGTTGCAAACTCTTTGCTTATAGAATTTTGGAAAATGCAGTTAAGTGTTATTAAATGTGCACTTTTGTGTGTAAATATAATTCCACTTTATTTTAACCCAAAACACAAGATGATCAGAAAATAAAATTGAAAACTTTTCTGCCGTAGCCACATTGACCAGCTACTCCGCCGAGTCCGCCGTAGAGCGAGATGACAATGGCAAGTACCACGGCAACGGTTACCACGGCAGCAATCTCAACCTGTGGCAACAGGGCGGCGAACGACACGTGGTAACCTCTACGTCCTCGTCCAGCATGGTGGCGCCAAGGGGTGGAACTAACGGCTTCCTGTACAGAAACGAAGACAACATGTCCGCCTCTACCTACAGCCTCAACAAACTCCACCCAGACCGCTCCTCAGGCTCCACCCACTCCATCCCGCTCTACCTCATGCCCCGCCCCAACTCTGTGGCTGGTAAGATGTGGTTGTGTTTGAGTCTCTTCCACTGTGCGCTCTGTTTTCTGTTACGAGGAAAATACACAACTCACTGTCACTTTTTATGGGCAGGGCCTGAGTTTATGCCTTTACCATGGATTTATTGCTGCGAGCTGTGGATAAGTCTTAGTCAGCAAATCGGTCCTGATTGATGAAAGTTCTGACTCTCCATATTTGTAGTTTAGCATTAGTCAAATGAAACAAGTAGGGAAGTAGAAAAGAAGCAAGTCTCTCCTCTCTCCTTCAGCATAGTAACTACAGCAAAGCGACAGAGCCTAAAATCTTTCATGATATAAACGAGAAGCTTTGTAATAAAAATATAACTGATGATGTGATGATATAAAATTCTTAATTGTGGACTTTAGGAATATTTGCACATTTATGAAAAGTTAAAGTTATAAGTTTTGCCTCTACTTCTTGTGTCTGTGAGGTTTTTTGAGACCACAAAGGCTCCAAATCTCTTTTTAAGATGGGCTTTAGCAGTAGCAATTAGTGGCAATCTCTGTCCACCACCCCCTGCAACTCAGAGAAAATTCTACTGCAGCACATTTGCATTATCTCACAATATCACAAATTCAATATTGCTCCCAATGCAAATGAGCGATATGATATGGCCCAGCCCTACTAGTAACTACTGAAATATTGAAATAAACTCTTTGTGCTTAAATGTACAAATAGTAAATGTTGAGCACAAAGCATTTCTAGTTTATAGCTGTAATAGACTAGAAAGGCTTTTCACTGTTGTTTTGAGGAGATATAAAGGTTGGATAAAGTCATAACAGCTGTTTTCAGTTCTGGAGTGCCTCTCGGCTCTTGTTTTGTAAGTGAGACACATTGCATTTGTTGTTTTCCTTGCTGCCAGTGAACTCAAACAAACTTCAGAACTCCATATTGCAGCAGCAACTACAAGTCCAGTCAACAATATACTTGCAGTGGCACCTATATTTTAATAATTGCACTGGATACAGAGGACTGCATCTGTGGTTATAATGGAGTTAAATATTAAAATCTTATATTATAAGAAAAAGTGCCCAAATGGATTATATTATTGCTTTAGTTCCTGTTTTAGAAGCTGTAATTGCTGTATTGATACTGTGCAGTGACATCATGCTGGGGATGTTCTACATATATCTCTAATGGTGGAATGTTTAGGAATTAATATGGTGACACAAAGCACACGTTAGCAAACACTGTTTTAAGATTGTCTGAAACACAAAATGGATTTAAACAGCAAATGTTCAAGGGCCTGTGATCAATACAAGCATGCATATAGGGTGACCAGATTTTCAGTTTAAACTAGGATTTCAAGTTTAAACTAGGTCATATTACTTGGGTTGGGATGGTTGGTATTAGTAAAATAATGAAAAGAGCATGTAAGATTGTGCATTCTCGTGTCAATCTGAGGGACTTCTGATGCTGGAGTTTTTTTATTTATGGTCATTCACAAACACGGATTTTTGTATTTTGGTGAAACAAATGATGTTTACGCTCCTCTTTAGTAGGGCTGGGTATCATTAAGAAGTTGCTGATATGATACATACTTCGATACACAGGCCACGATACGATACATATCTTGATACGATATATTTCAAATCGATTCAGTGCAGTTCATTAAAAAATAAGGGCTAAATCATGTCTGTGATGCTAAAAGTCTGTGTTAAACTACTTCTTGTGCAAAGTGAAAAAGAAACACAAACATTTTAATCATCAAAACAGTGAAAATGTCAAATGTGCATAAATGAGTTTCCTTCCTCTAAACAAAGAGCAAAACTGTAACTGCACTGTAACAAAATAATTTAGTAAAATATACCCAAAAAATACTCTTGGTGATATATCGATACAGCAGCCCACGATATTGATACTGTATCATTACATTAAATGAGACGATATATCGATATTTTGCTATTTTTGCACACCCCTACTCTTTACTGTTGGTAGGGATCAGATTAATCAAAATTGTGATAGTCCTGTTTTAGTCTTGGTTTAGACCTGATGTAATCCTGGTTCAATCTTAGTTTAATCCTGGGTTAGATCAAATTGGTCAAAAATAGGGACACCTGGGACTTTTCTTGTGTAAAACTGGTTTTGTATAAATTTGATAGGGCTGGGGACTCAGGGCTTAAAACTGCGACTGGCCCGGGTAAAAAGGGACGTCTGGTCACCTTAGTTCATGAGTTTGATTATCAACAAAAATGGTGAGAGTGACTAAGTGAAAAAATGTTGACTAATATAATAATAGCTTGTGTGAGAGACTTGTTTAAAAGCACAAATGAGCTCACCTAGCTAAATCAGCTTTATGGTCAGATTGTGTTAAAATAAACAACAAATTAAAGTCTAATAAAGCTTCAGACAGAGCAGAGCCTACAGTTAGCATCACACCCTCAAGGAATGTTGATTACATCAGCTGCAAAGTATCAGTCTATCTCATTTGACACTAATAAAGTAGAAAATTGAGGATCCTTTTTATTTTTTTATTTTCCAAACTATTTTAAAATTTTTAGATCCATTATTTTTGATACATGTCTTCATCCATCATTAAATATTAAATGATCTAAACTTACCAACATTACAGTACATTTTCCGACATTTGCCCTTGGCCTAATCTAGTCGTCCCTTCCCTCTTTTGTTGTCGCTTATAAAAAGTCAAAACCATGAGCTGAGGAAGGAAGTGACATGTATGACGTTACTCGCAATTCACACACAGACTCAGACAGGATACAGGGCTGTTCTGATTCTCACAGCAAGAATGGATCTGGAGTTTAGATGCGTGCATTGGTGAAGTTTCTGGAAAATATACTACTTTATTTACATTTTAAAGGGGCCAATATTGTCTCAGAATATTTTTTTTATGATAGAAGTTGCGGATACAATACTTATTTTATTACTTACTCAGCGAAAAGGTATGGCAGCTTTAAACAACTTAACGTCTTATGCAATTTGATGGGTATGCCTTTTGTCCTGTAGTTGAAAATATAATTGTTGATGCTTCTGAGAATAGGCAGTGTTTTCATTGTAATGTATTTAGTTTCTTTGGTAGGGAATGCAACGTGAGCTTGTTGTAAATTCTAGGGTAATCATCATCAATTCAATGACACAGTCTTACTATTTTAGGGAATCTTGTATTGTGAAATGATTAACCAGCAAACATGCTGTCCAATACTGATGAAACTGTCTTGCTTAAAAGAATGAATAGCATCTACAAAATCAAGATAGTAATAGTATACATATAATTTTTTTCCCCCAATAATAATATATAGGAAATATTATGTCAATCCAAAAGTAAATCAATGTGTTAAATCATGTCTATTTAGTTTATTGTTATTGTATAATTTTTGTTTAAATATTTCAAACACTAATGTGAAATGAAATTTGACATATCACTTTTTTCAACTTTTGTTTTATAAACCATATACTAAATATTCAAATGTCCATGTTTTCAATACAACATTGACAATATTATTATTATTTTTTTAATAATCTGCCCACCTCTTGAAGTCAATTTAAGCATTATTATCACTTCTACTCTTGTCTTAATTATTTAAAATTTATTCATTAATTATTGCATTTATAACACCTTTCAAGACACCCAAAGCGCTTTACAGTTCATTATTCATTCACTCCACACTCGGTGGTAAGCTACTACTGTAACCACAGCTGCCCTGGGGCAGACTGACAGAAGTGCGACTGTCAATCTGCATCATCAGCCCCTCCGACCACCACCAACTCTCATAGACACTTCACTTTCTTATTAGGCAATGTTGCTGAAGTGTCTTGCCTAAGGACACAATGACTTCTTTGTTTTTTGTCACTGCCGTCCCACTGTGGCACCTGGAATTCCCAGTGGTCTCCCATCCAAGTTCTACCCAGGCCCGGCCTTGCTTAGCTTCTGAGATTGAGATCAGGCTTTGACAAGCTGGTGTGGCCACTTTTACTTGCTGCTGGTATTGTGTACAGTAACACAGCCAGTATCAACACTATGATTTTGTGTAGATGTGATAGGACCTAGTACTATCTGCACTTGGTTGTGTAGTAAATGTTGTTTTCTCCACAAGAGATTTAAGCACTATATGATCACTTATCTTCTTATCTTACTTATCTATCTCAACACAACCTGTATCACTGTTCTTATCCTTACACTATACACATAAAATAATCCTCATGTCCTCCTGTAAAACTAAAACAAGCTGTTAGTGCTCAGTTGAGAGGACGTCTCAGGAAGTGCTTCTCTGAGTTCTGTTATATAAACCTGTGACATTGTCCTTTTACACCTTGTTAAATTTGTGAAGTGTTCAACCATAGAAAAGCTTGTTTTAGCTCTCCTTGTTTATGTGCCGCAAGGTCACTGCTAATAAAACTGGTCAGGTGTGAGCCAAATAGAATCTACTGATGCATGTGAATGGTTTATATAACTATAAACTTTGCACCCTCTTAATTCCATTCGTGAGCTAATTTTAAAAGTCAAAATCTTGAAAATTATTGTTGAATTTTCAGTTACTTATATTTGATGCCGAAATGCTTTATGTTGAAATTGGAATAATAATGAGTGGTTATATTTTTCAGCTACCAGCACTGCCCACCTTGAAGATTTGGCTTATCTTGATGAACAGCAAAGACATATCCCTTCTAGGACCTCCCTCAGAATGCCCAGACAGAATTCTGGGAGTCGTAGTCAACAGGAACATATAGGTAAGCACATACTTGGACCTGTTTGGAAAATATAGATATATGATTCTATTCTATAACGTAACATTTTCAATTTTTTTTGTTTTTAGTGCGTTTTACTCCCTCGCTCAACCTCAAGCCCTTTCACTTCGAGATCCCCGGGCTGGCTGGTGATTGGTTGTTCACGGGGAGGGAGTGGCTTTTCCAGGAAGTAGATGCCTGTCTGCGCAGCACTGATCCTGCACAAAGTCGCGGCGTGGTGATCGTCGGTAACATGGGCTTCGGTAAAACGGCCATCATCGCGAGGCTCGTGGCTCTAAGTTGTCACGGAAACCGGATGTGGCCAAATGCTGCTACTAACCAGAGCGTACCTAAACGTAAGAGAAACAGCTGCACTTTGTATGAACATGCTCATTAGATATATGACATTTTCTCTAATAAATTGTTTTTAGATGCTGAAAATGCACAGTTTTCCCACAATTCATTGGGACGAGGTGGAGAAGTGGATGATGGAAGAGAGGGGAGCTGCCCAGGCACTCCAGAGCTGAAAAGAAGACAGGAGGAGGCACTGAGACGGCTCGCAGGACAGGTAATATCAAAACGCCTACAATGTCAACACTGTTAATCCCATCGCATTACATATTAGATAAATATTTACTCAAGAGGGGCAGATCGTGTCAGGACGAGTAACTGCTATGATAATACAGAAGAGTTATTGTGTTATTAATAGACTAAGGGTGTGTTCAGCCTAGTTTGGTCCTGGTATAGTCTTGGTTAACCCAGAGTTGTGATGCAAGTGCAAGTGTGAACATATCTTAAGGCATGGATACACTTTTATTCAGTATTTAATAATATGAAATCATAAATGTTATAAACCTCTTCCAAAATGCTGAAAAAAAAAAGCAGCTTGCTGTTTTCTTTTACTTAAAATTGACACTGACCTTAAGCTTTACGTCATGTTATAATGCTTTTACCTCTTCAGTCACACATGTTCAGTAGAGATTGGCAAGGGCTTAAGAAACAACATTATAACATAGATCAGAAAACAGCGTAATATGGGCCCTAAAAACTCTTGGACTCTGACTCATGTCTTAAAACATGGAAAACGTGGGGAAAAAAACACAACTAGTTCATAATTATTCACCTCAATCAGTTTATAGTTATTGAGTGGAGTTTTGCTATGGCAGTAATAGCATACACTTCCTGATTATCAGACAATAAAACACTTACTAATTAGATGCAGACTTATTTTGACCTCAAGAGCTGCTTATACAATGTATCTGTACTGGGGCAAGACAAAGTTTGCTCAAATATGTGGGAGACAGTTGGCTTCAGGGCTTTTTTATTGACGTGTGCCGCTCTGTGTGCAGGTGGTGTCCTATCACTTCTGTCAGGCGGACAACTGTCACACCTGTCTCGTCCCAGAGTTTGTCCACAACATGGCTGCCATGCTCAGCTCCAGCCCTCAGCTTTCCTCATACAGAGAACTCCTCCACAAGTCGCCCCAACTACAGAGCATGCTCAGTCTGCGCTCCTGCATCCAAGACCCCAACGCTGCTCTAGTTAAGGGAATACTGGAGCCACTAGACCTACTCTACAGAGGTACATTTACTGTTAATAGATTTTTTTTTTTCCACAAAGATTATGTGATCATTTTGGTGTGTTTATTCCGCAGAGAGGAAGATCCAGGCTGAGCGGACAGGACTTATTGTCTTGATTGATGGGTTGAACGAAGCAGAGTTCCACCGCCCTGACTATGGCGACACCCTGGCTTCCTTCCTCAGTAGGAACATTCAGAGATTCCCTCCCTGGTTAAAGGTCATCACTACCGTCCGTACTGGCCAACAGGTACACACTAACACTATTTAGCATGGTTTCGGCAAGGTCTGATAAAGTCTTAAATTCAAAAGTTTTGGGGGATGCCTGCAGTAAAGTCTCCTCAACAGCTGGTTCTGGAGTGCCCCCTGTTGGTATTTTGCCTCTGAGCACAGCCTCTAGGTTCAAGACTCCTTATCGAGAAGAACATCATCCTCCAATGTGAATTCAAACCAGGGCTTTATTCTGCTGAGTAAATGTGTGTCTCTGTCAGTGTCTGGACCAGTAATGAGTTTCAGATTTGACAATTTTCAAAACTTGCAACAGAATAGTGATTTGAGTGGCGATATTGTATGAATGTCAAAGTGAGTGATGTTATTTTCTCCTGGAAGAAGCTCCAAACACATCTAAAATAGTCTGTTCAATGTAATGGCTTCAAACAAGAACAAATGTGACCCAGAATCCTGATCCCGCTGTGAAAAGGAGAAGCTGATTCCAAATATTGAAATTTGTATTCATAAGTTAATAGTAAAATGTTAATTTTAGCAGTGGGAAAATTAAAGATGATTTAAATAGCAGTCAAGAAAGAGAGCTTCTTTGTAATGCATGTAATAATTTGTATAGTTTTTCTCAAAGTAACACTAAACTTTGTTGCCTTCTTTTTCAGGACATCACGCAGTCTTTGCCTTTCCACCGCGTCTCACTGGATCTCATGGAGGAGAACAGTGCCATCGAGCAGGACCTGCAGGTAACATGGCTGCTCTCTGAGTTCTCCACACATGTTTTGTCTTTACCTTTACCTGCTCTGCTCACGTGTGCTTTTCCCCAGGGCTACCTGATGCAGCGTATCCACAGCAGTGCCGAGATACAGAGCAACGTGTCCCTGGGTAATGGTCGCCTTGACAACACGGCCCTGTCCAAACTCATCAGCCACCTCAAGAGTCTGAGCCGAGGCTCCTACCTGTACCTCAAGCTCACGCTGGATCTGATCGAGGGGGGCTACCTGGTGCTCAAGAGCTCCAGCTTTAAGGTGAGAGAGAGAGCTGGCTCTGAATGAAAGATATTGTGGTTAACACTGTAAGTATATAAGAAAGCATTAGATACCATTTTATTATTAATGATTTACTATTGATGTGCACTGTAAAAACTTTATTTAAATTACTCTTATGACTGCCATTCTGCATCCATGTCTTCTCACACTACCAAATCTCACAGTCACTGACAGTAGCAAGGATAGGACCTTTCTACACAACTAGAAGACAATAGGAAGAACCAAGTATTTCTCATTATTGTATTCTAATGCGATCAGTTTGATTGGATTGGAGACACTCAGATTTGATGTTTTTCCCCACTGGTCTTGAAGGTGGTTCCTGTGAGCTTAGCAGAGGTGTACCTCCTGCAGATGAACATCAGATTCCCCACACAGTCATCTTTCCAGAGAGTCCTGCCTCTACTCAACGTCACCACGGCCTCCCTGCACCCGCTCACAGACCAGCAGGTACACTGTCTCTTCAGCCCTCTGCCACATGTTGCTCTGTACTCTCATACCATGTATCCCCACTGGCAATGAGGCAGTGTATACTCTCATTCGTCCAGGAGTGGTTCAGTATAGAGACTGCTGAGACTGTCTGTTCAACCAATAGAAAATGGCTTCTGGGTGGGAGCCAGAACCTCTTGATCATAAAAACACTGTCCAGATAACTACAGTTGAAACTGTCCTTATAATGTATCGTCACTTCTTTCTCATAGTTGTATGAAGCAGTGAATGCGAGTGCTGTGACCGGAGGGACCCTGCCCTGGGCTGAGTTTGCTCAGCGACTGGAACAGCTCTCTCCGTTCCTGTTGTGGAGGGGCGATGGGAGCCGGATGTTAAAGCATGCCTCCTTCCGAGAGTGGCTGGTGTGGAGAGAGGATGGGCAGGACAGTCGCTTCCTCTGCGACCCCAGGTATGCACAGCAGTACTGGGCACTAGGCAGCTGCAAACATTATGTGAACCTCTCAACCAGAGCTCTCATATAGTTAGGACAAAATGGACAGAAGACTTTAGGTAGATTTCTAACACGTTCAGAAAAAAATACATCCACTAATTGTTCTCCTGATGTTGGAAGGTTCCTTCGTTTGTTAAACGGAGGGATGTGGAGGGCAATACCTACTGTGTATCTGTGTTATTAGAGTTAGAGTTTGGCAGTAGTAATAGTATTTTGCATCCAAACCTGTATCACTGGTAAAATATTTTGTGAGGCATACGTGCTAAATCCATTATGCCAACCTCACTTTTTTTTTTTCATTTAACAATAATAATGTGTGTGTGTGTTGATGTGCAGGAGCGGTCACACTCTGCTGGCCTTCTGGCTCTGTAGACAGGAGGGTAAACTGAGTCGGCAGCACACTCTGGAGCTTGGACACCACATCTTGAAAGCTCACATTTATAAGGTACGCTAACACAGCTATATAAGACACACGAACATGGCCGTATATCCACTCCACCCCACACATGCAATAACTGTGTGTCGTTATGCCTCCCCAGGGCCTCAGCAAGAAACTTGGGGTCTCCTCCTCAGTACTCCAGGGCCTGTGGCTCTCCTACAGCACTGGCACTCTGAGTCCGGCTCTGTCCTGTCTGCGAAACCTCTACACGCCCAACATCAAGGTAATGTTTTTAACTGAAGCACATGATGAATCTTATGAACATGAAGAGCATAAAGCTGGTGTGGCTGCACAGGTGAGCCGGCTGCTGATAATGGCGGGAGCAGACGTGGACTGCCACTCAGATGTCCTAAACAACGCCCCTCTGCTGTGTGTGCATGCACATTTAGGACACAAGGACGCTGTGGCTCTGCTGCTGGACCATGGAGCACAGGTAATCAATACAATATGTATTTATATTTTTTATGTAGTGGAAATGTAGCAAGTGTAAATTCAAAACTCAATGAAAACATGTTTTATTGTCTATGTAACAACTAAACAAATTTGTTATATTTGAATGAAATATAGAACAATTTATGTACATCCATGATCCACATATACAGCTATTAAAAGAACACCACTCCTCTGCATGTTGTGGTGCGCCATTGTCCTTGTTATTTAATCCTTTCTTAACATACCATAACGGTACAGTATGTAACTGTCTGGAAGTGGCACGTCACCTGCAAGATTCCATGGAAATAGAAAGTTAAAAAGAAATTTAAAACCAACAGTCTTCAGGGAAATTGATATGCTTTATGCCACTTGTACATGTTTTTCTGTGTAATCGAGAACAGAAAATGGTTAATCCAGTGAGATATAATAAGATATTAATAAAGTAGTGCACTTGTACTTATAAATAGTATGACTTGCATACTTGGCATATTTGGTATTTTGGTTTTAAGTTGGATTATCCACTCTAAATTACATGACTCTCACATTCTCCTTTTCGTTCCCTTACGTCAGGTGGATGCTCGGTCTAATGATGGACTGACTGCCCTGGGATTTGCTGCTGCTGCTGGACATTTGGATATTGTAACTATGCTGAGTCAGCACAGAGCCAAGGTAGCTCTTTCTGCTTAGTATGGCTTTCACAGACCTCAAACCTCAATACACACCTTTTCCTTACAACACTGGAGCATTACAGGAGAGGAAGAATTATTCAAGCAGTCTTTTTAATTATTATCACTACACAGTATATTTTACAGATTAATTTATACTGTCCACATATAAAAATAGCAGATCCAAAGGCACCCAACATTTACTAAGACCTCTTGGTAGCAGATGCAACATTTCAGGTACAGTGTTGATGTATGGAGCTAATTACTGAGAGGGTTGAACACGTGGTGATGGGCTGGTTACAATGGGTTACTTCTGGTTCAGTTCTGGTTTAGACTGTTCCTTTCTGGTTCATCTCTCTTCATATCTGTTATGGTGGTACTGATGTGAAAAGTTTGTCTTCCTCCTCAGGTTGGGCATGTGGACAGCTCAGGTCGATGTGCTCTGGTCCTCGCTGCTCAGCGCGGACGTCAAGAGGTGCTGTGTTTCCTGCTGAAATGTGCAGACTGGAACTGTACTACCTGCTGTGGCCAGAGGGGGCCCAGCCGAGGCCAGGCCCTACAACAGGCTCTGATCGCAGGAGCCAGCATGGGCCACACTGAGGTACAGACACACTGTCACCAGAATAATGTGAAGGAGACAATGTGTTCTGACAGATGTCTCTGCACAGACTGTGTTATTTCTACTGGAGCTACCAGAGGAGGAGGAGGACAGGCCCGAGATCAACACTTGTGACAGTCTGTGGGGAGAGACAGGTAAAGTGCAAACACACTAACCAAAGTCACATTTTAATTTACATTCTTATCTTTTACACTGAAGGAGTAGTCAGGGAGGGACTTGTTTTACCAACACTTACTCGCTCATCATACTCACTGCTGGTCAAATTACTTAGGAAAATAATTTACTGTTGAGACGAAATCACATGAAAGATTTTTGAGCCGAGGCTCCTGATCCTGTTTACAAAATGTAAAGTGCATGTTATTTGGCACAGCGCTGACAGCTGCAGCGGGCAGTGGCAGACTGGCTGTGTGCAGACTCCTGCTGGATCAAGGAGCTGCTGTGGAGAAAGCCAACCGCCGCGGGGCTGCCCCCCTCTTCTGCAGTGTGAGGAGAGGACACTGGCAGGTGAGGCCTGGAACACTCAAACACAAGGCTCCAGTACAGTCTATGAAAGAGTTCTAATAGAGTATGTGCTGTGTGGTGCAGGTGGTGGAGCTGCTGCTGAATTCTGGAGCAGAGGTGAACATGGTGGACCCACAGGGCCGTACTGCTCTCATGACAGCCGCATCAGAAGGACACATGTCCACGGCACAGCTGCTGCTCAATCATGGTACACAAATCACACACTATAACAATTTACTAAGTAAGATGATAGAGTAGCAAATATGTGGTTAGATAACAAAACAAATGAAATCCTGGACTATACAACTAAACAACAGTCTGTGTGTGTTGTGTGCAGGTGCATCTCTGGACCTGTGTGACCGGGAGGGGCTCACAGCCCTGAGCTGGGCATGTCTCAAAGGTCAGCTGCCATTGGTCAGAGAGCTGGTGGACAGAGGAGCTGACACCACACATGCCGACCGCAGTGGGCGCACACCTCTGGACCTGGCCGCCTTCTGTGGGGACCCTGAAGTGGTACTTATACATCCTTGTGTTTGATTGCTTTATTATTTTTTAATGCCATTTTAAAATATATTAAAATCTGGTAAACTCTTAAAAAGCTCTTAAAAACTCTTAGATGTAGATAGGTTCAGATGTGCTGCCATCTGTTCACAAAATTATATCATCCACTTTGTGCTAAACATTTACTGCACATATAACAACAGTATTTTAAATCGTGGCTTTGTGTGTTTTGTTTAGGTACAGTACTTGGTGGATCACGGAGCTTCAGTAGAGCATGTGGACAGCAGTGGGATGCGTCCTCTGGATCGAGCTGTTGGCTGCAGGAACACGTCTGCTGTTATTGCTTTGCTCAAGAAGGGTGCACAAATAGGTACAGGGTCCACAGACTATGACTGATACACATATATCTTTTTGGAGCCAATTCATAACAAATAATCATAAGGTCTATAATTTTTTGATTATACTTTGGGATATTTAAAAAACAGTAAATGTCCCATTGATTTATACAGGTTATACATATCTGACATTATGACAGTCACATTTTAAAATTTGAACCTACAAACCTTTAAAGTTTAAATGAAGGTGAATGACTACCGGGACTTTTATTGTCTTTTTTGTAGGACCTGCCACCTGGGCCATGGCTACATCGAAGCCTGATATTCTGATGGTTCTGCTGAGTAAACTGATCCAAGAGGGTGATCGTCTGTACAAGGTAGTATCCGCAGGCATCACACACACACACACACACACAAATGATAACACGTTAGCTCACCATTGCAGTAACGCAACCTCTATGTTCAGCAAGGGAAGGTGCGTGAGGCGGCCGTATCGTACCAGTCGGCGCTGCAGAAGTTTCCAGGCGATGAGATGAAGACTTTTCGACAGCTCCGAGTGTCTGTGCTGCTCAACCTGTCACGATGTCGCCGCAAAATGAATGTAAGGCGTGTTTTTGTTTGAGAGTTTCTGGGTGGATTTAAAGAGAAGAAGACACATATCACATTTTCGTAACCAGGCAGATGGACAGAAACTGAATTAGGCAGCTGCAGTAAATGATAACTCAATATCATGTAAAGGCTTATTGAGTTATATCATGTTTGATGTAGTGGACAGAAAAGTATAGGAAAATAATATTCCAGAGCCTATGGTATATGTAATACAATTCAGATTTCCAGTTTGGAGGAGACAAAGGATTATGCTTTGTTTTATGCTTCTCCTACACTGCTCCTGTCTGAAAGTCTAAATCTTTTTCTTTGTTTGCTTTAGGATTTCAGCTTGGCTGAAGAGTTTGCCACCAGAGCACTGGAGCTGAAAGCCAAATCATATGAAGCCTTTTATGCCAGAGCCCGGGCTAAGCGTAGCCGCAGGTAATTAGCAACATGAAGCTCAAAGTACTGCCAACACGGTCTTGTTTTGTAAGTTAAACACAAATGCATTTGCAGTTTGACTATGGTATCATATGCTTTTTGGGGTATTATCAGCTAAATAATTTACACAGATACTGAACTATTTCCTTTACTTTAAAAAAATGAAAAAGAGCCAACAAGCTTTTCAATAGTGTTTAATAAAGAGGGATAAAGCCATAGGCTAATTACCATGTAATATATGTCCTCAAAGTTTATTCTGAAATGTACTGTTGCTATTGTCACATACAATACAACTAAAAATATGTGTGCTAACTATATGTATAGGTTGGTTAAATTGTATTTAATTTCCTTGAATAATTTGTTTAATTACTTCTTTCCTGTCACATCTTAGGCAGTACCATGCTGCACTAGAGGACCTGTTAGAAGCCAGCCGTCTGTGTCCATCGAACCGTGAGATCCAGAGACTTCTGTCCAGAGTCAAAGAGGAGTGTCGACAGGCAGCGCAGCAACCGGACCCCTCCACTGCTCCTCCACCACACCTGTACCAGCACAATGTGTCCAGGGACGTGGACGAAGAGGAGACCGGCCACAGTGAAGCTGTCATCCAAAGTCTGGACAGTCACAGCAGCCCTCGTGGTCCTTCTCCAAACTCTCTTTCTCCAACTCACATGTACCACCATGTCTCTAGCCCCGCCCACTCACCTTCCTCCCCAAGCCATGGGCACCATTTCAGCCCGGCCTCCTCCCCGGTCCACCAGCAAAGAGTAAGCCCCATGTCTGAAAGCCTGCCTCAATCCATGTTAGCAATGCACCACCCTGAGCAGCACCTCCAGAACCAGAGGTCTTTCCAGAAGCAAAACACAGTCCAAGGCCAATGGCTCCAGCCAGCCAAAGCTCAACTTGTGCGGTCAAGCCAGCCCACCTCTGCAGTCCACTCTAACATGGTGTTTGGGGGGTCAGCCTACTCTCAGTTTGCCCATTTGCCAAAAGAACTTGCTGAACTCGGTGAGGGCTTTCAACTCCAGCCTGGTTTGTCTTACCAAGATGACCTGGATTGTCAGCCCAGACCTGCTACAGCGTACGGAAGAGGGATGAATCGCTACAGCCAAGGTGCCCAGTTTGGTCGAAACCAGTCCAAAGCGGCGTATTATCCAATGGAGGTGACTGAATCTTCTAATATCGGTGCACCTGATTCATACAATGATTACCAGTATCAACCACAAGGAGGGCTACGGCGACCACTTAGTGCACACCCAACCTCTTCTTCTGCAGCTGCTTCTAACAGGCCGCTCATCCATTCTCAAAGCGTCAATGTGCGTAGCCTAGCGGGGCAACTACCTCCGCCTAATTTATCCACTTTCCGAACTTCAGCCTCTGCCCAGCATGTGGATTTGCCACCAGACCCGCCTCCATTCTCTGGAAGTTACCATGATGATCTATTTTTAGGCTCGAACCCTCAATCTGATTTGGGAATGGTAGGGGGTGGTACATATCCCGGGGAGGCGGGGCGTGCCTCAAGGAACACTCCTTTTATGGGCATTATAGATAAAACTGCAAGGGTACAACCACAATACCAGTCACAAGCCCCGCCTACGTCTTCTTGTCTAAGTCCGTCTCGCTCCTGGGCCGTCTCCTCCGTAGACACTGTGGTGACATCTCCAAGCAAAGCTCCGCCCACTCAACCATTTCCTTCTTCGATTGCTTACCATAATCGAAGCAACAACAATGCGCACAATGGCCATTATTACGACAACCAAAATGACTACTATGAAGTGACACCTGTGAAGGTAGAAAACTCCGTCCCAATAGTGAGTCAGAACCCGTCTTATGTAGATGTGAGGTTAGCCCGCACTATGCCAGTGATACACAGCTGCTCGGATCGGCCCAGTGAGCGTAAAATGGGCCCTACCTCTCCTGTCAAACCAAAAAGACCCTTTGTGGAGTCCAATGTATAGAAAACTACCACTATAATGTAACTTTTGAAGGGATACAGTCTGGCAATGCTTGAAGATACAAGTACATGCAATGCTTTGAATGAATGGCACACAAGCTGAAGGAACGATGCAATAATAGACATTTATAATAGTTGTGGGACAAAAAGAGGAATAAAATAAGTTAAATTATGTTCAAAGCCAGATTGCAGTTAGGTTTGCCAAGACTAAAGGAAAAAAAATGGGCTGCTGACCATGCCACTTTGCAGCCGTTTTGTTTTAGATGTTCAATAATTATTAGTCATGAATTGTCGGTCTAAAAAAGAAATAGGACTTAGTTTTGGGTTTTTTTCAACAATTCAATGTAATTCTGTAAGACTATGCTTGATAATGAGACAGCACATAATATCACAAAGCACAACAAATGACCAAGAAGGAAGTTGGAAACCCCAAACTTCTTATAATGTTCTTTGCGTCTACATTAAATCTAAAGTAATCATGGTATGAAGTTGCGTGGCGTTGCAAGCCATAGCCAAGTCCCAAGCCATAATGTTTGAGGACAATGTTGTTGAGTAAAGCACTGACTTACTGTATATACAAGAAGAGTAAGCGTTATTTATCTTTTTAAGTTATGTATGTGACTGTACAATGCAATTTATAATGTAATGTATATTATTTTTTATTTCTTTTATGTGCTTTTATATATTATTATTTCAGTGATTCCTACCCAAAAGTGGCAATATTCTAACATCATTCATTACTCGCTTCAGCCTGAACGCCTTTCAGAAATGCTGTCCTTCAGGGTTTTTTTTCCTACCAAAACTTTTTATACTTTGCAGTGCTAATTTATGCAATGGCGAGCTAGTTAAACCACGGCTTTTACATGTGTTGCCATAGAGCCCATGCTGACTCGCTTCATTCCCTGGAGGGTTGACTGACAGATGGTGTTAAGGAGGACATTGACTTAAAGACATTCACGTTGCTCACACAGATGCCTGCTTTGTTTTTTATTTGTTCATCTTTTTTTGCTACGAGTTCTTTTGTCACGGTACAAACACACACTGCCCTCTGAGGTCGAAGTTGCAACGTTAAGTAGTGGCCGGTTTTGTTTTTGTCAGACTTTTGCCAAGGCCATTGCTAAAACACATTATTAGCATGTTGGATGTTCAAAGACTTGTTGAAAAGATTAAAGACTTCAGATCAAATTCTTTGCTTTTTATTTCATATTTCAAACAAAAGTAGACTGCTAACCCATCTAGGCAAGTTTGATTTTACTGAGGCACAAAATCTTTTGGTCATAAAATGGGAATCCTTGAGCAAAGATCAGGTGGGAAAAGAATAGTATACATTTACCAGTATCTTCTGAACTTTCCATTCTTTCCTTCACATGGCCTAGCCTCTGTCCTCTGTGGGCAGGAACCAAAAACTAAAATGGTGAGACATATCTTTTACATAATGCAGCTTTATTGGAATTAATTAAGATGCAAGCAGCAAACATATACTATGTACACTTTTCAGCATTTTTTTTTTCCTGCTTATACAACATTACCTGTATTGTTACATAAATAAAAATAAACACAAGTACATTTAACTACTCTGATGCAGAGGCATAAACAGTAAATCACATACACGTGTCACTCAAATAAATAGTACATCATGCAGACCTGTGGACGGGGAGGGTGACTGGGGGGAGCACCATAGACATTGACAGGGGCAGAAATGACACAGGCACAAACAGGTTCTGTATGTGCTTTGTCTATAAAGGCAAGAAACAAGACAACATGTGTAAAGTTTACACAGTGTTGCCAATAGTGATGTCACAGGATAGAGGCACTGAGGTATCAGCTTCAACAATAACCAACAGGAATAAATAATATTGAAATATGAAATCAGATGAACCATAAGCCTATTATTTTACGCAACACACTTTGTGTACTTTATGGAAGATCTAAGGCAGGTAGATGCTACAGCAGCAATTATTTTGGCAACACAAAACATCAATATCTATTAGACAGTAATCAATATTTTGAAACTTTTCACTAGTCCTTTGGCAGTTTTCACTTTGATTCGGAAAATAAGTAGAGATAACGTCTATAACTATAACATACTGTATATAATCATTTACAAGGCATGGATTTGGACACTTATACCTTCCAACTTTCGGATGTAAAATCCAGTCAGAAATATATAACTTTATTTTAACTAAAATTTTTAGTATTTACTCAAAATATAACTAAAGGAGCGGGTTTGATTGATTTGAGTGTTTGGAGACATAAAAGAGGTACTGGTGTTGCAGATTAGGGAGTGGGTGAGGATGCACCCTCTGTTAAGGTCTTAAAGTGCACTGACAGAGCCTCTTCCTCTGGGTTGGGGGGGCGTCTATACTCTTCTTTGGTGATAATACTAATGATCAGGATTCCAAAGCACACCAGCACAACCCCCAGGATGTTCGCAAGTGTGCCCTCTGGTGGCAGGTGAGAGTATGTCGCCCTGCCAAGGAAAAAGTGAAGACTGTTAGAAAATGTTAGAAAATTTTATTTTTTTGCGTCACTCCCATTTCCAGTACTAATAATAGCAAAAATATAAATAAATAAATCAATAAATAAATAATGGAGCACTATGTAACTTTACTGCTGTCTGCTAATTACTTGTCTCCATGGTTATGTCAGCATTATTTATTCAGTTACATAATTACATTGTTATCTTTAGTTTTTTTTTTCATGATACATAATTAATTTGACCTGATTAAAGGACCCATGTTACACTATTTTCTGATCAATGTTATAATGTTGTTTTGTCATCAAAAACTTACCCAGGTTTGTTTTTTGTTTCATTCACATGTGTTTAATACACAAACACTGCATATTTAGGCTGAGATTTTCCATCAAATGGAAAATGCTCCTTGTAATGTCATGTGGTAATAGGAAGTGCTCCACTGCTCCACTTTTTAAAATCCCCATACCATATCACTAGACTCATTTGGGTCATTTCAGCCCTGGAATTGCTGATCTCTACTAAACTACAGGTAAAACTTACCACTTCATGACATCACAAGGTGGAACAGAGCATCTTGAGCTTTTGAGATGCAGCCAGACTAATAAGAAAGGGTTACTCGAACATGTGTGAATGAAACAAAACTAAACTCCACAACTGTTTCTGAGGAGATAACAACATTCTAACACGCCTCAAATCTCTCAAATTTAAGTAATAGTACTTAGGCTTTGTGGTTTGAGTATTTACGCCTCGTTCAAAAATCAAAGAACTATATGTCCTTAGTAAAAACAACAATATAAAGACAATAATACAGTATATAGACTATACATACATGATACTGAACAGTAGTTTCTCTGTTATTCCAAGCAGGCTGCTCCCTATGGCCATCACCAGCAACAGCGCACCACAGAAGACGTGCAGCGGGAGGTACGTGGCCCGTAACCATGCCGACGCAACAGGAAACAGGAAAAACATCAGACCGAGCACCCACTGGGGTCACAGGGGGGACATGAGGACAGTAAAGATTAGATATTAGTGAGGCATGGCTCCTTCTGATCTCTGTTTAAACATTCACCTGAGCACAGAACAGCACGAGGGTAGCCATGCCGCACCAGCTGTGGAGTGAGTACATGTCTGGGATCTTGGAAGCTCGATGGAAGTCAAACACAGCGACCATACCTGCAAAACACACAGGTCAAGGAAAAGGAAAAGGTATTGGATTATTCAGTAAAGGGCCCATATGATACTATTTTCTGATCTATGTTAAAATATTGTCTCCTCATCACAAACATACATGGAGTTTTATTTTGTTTCATTCACACACATTTTCACACACAAATCGTGCTTATTTAAGCTGAGTTCTTCTCTCAGGATACATTTATATCAGGATGGTCTGAACAGAAGATGCAAACGTGGCATCGCGTTTTCACTTTTTATTCCACGTTTAGACAAGCGTTTTCTGGAGTAAATGTGCGTGCATACGGTGACGCAAAAGTGTGTGGAATTAAATTGGGTATACATGCCAGGAGGCTAGGTGATGACGCTAGGTGATGATGTATGTGACATAAACATGTTTGTGACGTGAGCAGATCTGACCAAAGTTTTGTGTCTTGGGCAGTGTAGATGGAAACACTACAGTGGAGCGTATTCAGCTTTTCCACACTGGAGGGTGGTGTCAAATTTTGGCATTTTTAATCCCCAAAAACACCATTAAAATATTATGTCGTTTTTACCTGCAAACGTTCTCGTGTAAGCAGGTCCTAAAACAGAAAATACTCTGTTCCACCTTGTGATGTCATGTGATAATACAGGATGTGCTCCACTGTATTTTTAAACTGTAACAGCATTATAACAAAGCTCACAAGAGTTAATTTTGTATAATATAGGACCTTTAACTGAGGTGGAAGAAGTATTGAAGATTTGTACTCAAATAAAAGTACAGTTACGCAGCTAATAATGTTTTCAATTACAAGTATTTCTGCCAATATTATAGTAAAAAGTATTAATGAAAAAAAATACAATGAGTGCTACAAGTTACAAGCAGAGAGAAAGAGAGAGAGAGATAGCAATAAGACATCCATGGACTGGGACATTTGGAACATGTACAGTACTCAGTGACTTCTATAATTTAAAATGTAATAAATTACTATTAAATTGCTAGATTTATACTCAAAAGTACGAGGACATGTTTTTGAAAATCTACTCAAAAAGCTCTCTGAAGGGCTTAATGCATGTTAATACGTTGTTTACAGCGAATACAACATGGTTATCTAAATATGTTATGTAATAGCAATCAATACCATAAAGTAAAATATCCACTCTTAGTGTACTAATGTGTCTTACCAACAATAGTAATGATGAGAGCAAGTAGATGAATGATTCCATGGAGCAGCTTCACATTTCTCTTGGACTCGTTGCGGAATACTCTGTACACCAAGATAGCTGAAAAAATGTATACAAAAAAGTTAACATTTTAATTGTTCCTTATCACCTATCCATCGCTGTTAGCCAATCAGTGCCTGCTATCATTGGCTCTGTCTCCTCCTTCATCCTACAATCCTTCATGTCCTCCTCCTCCCCCTCTTCCTCTTCCACAGCAGCAGAAACAGTGACCACAGCCTCTCCATCCTCTTCTCATCACTACCACCACAACTGTCACCCCTCTCTCTGTAACTGCTGCAGTGAGTCTTGTCATTCTGGTCTTAAAATGTTCATTATCAACCAACACATGATCCTAGTGTTTTTATTTCCTATTCCTAATAAGGAACTCAGCTCCAAAATTGTTTCTATAAATGCTACTGTGAGCTTCATTTGACTGGAGCTGAAGGTTACGGGTGACGTCACACTCACTTTGTCTTTATACAGTCTCTGAGTAAGACTTAACAATTGTTTTGGTGACCCCAGGTAACTTTGTAAATAAGATTTGTCTCTTAGATTTGATAAATGTGTTTTTGAGCGATTCCATAGCCAGGGGCTGATAATATTTACTTTTGTGTGTGGGCCTGGCTCCCTGGGGTGCTTCTATGTCTGTCTGCCTCAAACCACCAGATGACCTTTAGCTTTTATTGGAGTAATTCAATGTAATCGTGTAAAAGACAGCTGTGGCAGGACAAACAGTTGGGGTAATTGGGTTACTTTTATTTGCACAAGCACCAAGCACTGCAGGTGTCAAGGCTCAAACGCAGATGTTGAGTGCTTCCTTTAAGTTTGATCTTCATAAGAATTACCTAAATTCACTAGACTATAATCTGCTTTGTCAGTGTAATACAACTAGAGGACATGTTTACTGTTAAAAATGTTTACACTGATTTGAGAAAATCATCTAATGGTGATTTTTCTGACATGCATTGTAAGGTAAAAGTAATGGCTCAAATGTAAAAGTACTGTGTGTGTGAATGTGTGAGTCTGTGTGTGTGTTCAGAGCAGACAGGGTGGTGGGAGGCTGGACAGTGTTCGCTTAACGCAACACGTCAGTGGCCCGCGGCTAGGCCAGAGCCATGCCAATCACAGGCACCATTTAAACCCTGTGACAGGAAACAACAGACATTAGAGCTGTAACATATAATAGTATTTTCAAACTAAAAAGCTGCAGAGGTCACATTTTATGGTAATTTAGTAGAACATTTTACTGAAAAATTATTCTCTTTTAAAGAAATACTACTTTTCGGTGAAGGGTCCACCGTCTGCTTGTCTCCATGTAGATGCTGCTGCTTTCCCGGGAATGTTTGACAGTATGGCATGATTCTTATTTATTTTATATTTTGTTTGTTTGTTTTTTATAATGAGTCGACTAAAAGGGGGTGTGGTAAAAGTTCTCAAAACCATTACAAATCCCTATACATCTAATCCAAACTACAAGACTACAGCTGCACAGGGGTTCATGCAAAAAAAATATATATATATATATTTATATAGAAAAGTACAAAAACTGTGTATTTATATGTACAGAAAGGGAGACTAAGCACAGGATTCATTCCCACATCTTCAACTTTAGCTAAATCCAAACCCTTTCTTTTCTGTTGTTGTGCACAGAAAAATAATTTTGGTCAACTAAGACATCGATCGACTAACCAACTAAATAACTAAAGGACTATAGTCTGAGTAATCATATATGCATTTAACTGAAACTTTTGACAACACTGTAGCCCCTAATCTATCATTGTAATCAACTGTTTTCCTTACTCGGAGGTCAGTATTAACTAAATACACATTCCCATAAAACTAAACATTAACAGATCAACTCTACATCCTGGTCTGTCCCTTCCACTTGACAGAATAAACCTCTTTCAAACAGAGCGTTGACTCACCATCTCCCTGCAGAAACACCAGTCCCAGGACCATGCAGAGGGGGTGCATGTTGAACTCCTGTGCAGACCCGTCCCACGCGAAGCCCCCTCTGTACCGGCCCATCCACACCCCGGTCAGCACCACCGCACACAGGCCTAGGACTTGGGACCCACCGACCAACCACGGCAACAGGGAGCGCCGGGAGTACGGGCCGCATTCATCCATAATCTGAAACACAAGGAGGGACAGTCAGTGGGTCTAAATGATTCAATTAGTTGATCAAGCACATGTGACTATTAATGCGACTTTTAGAATAAAATTGTTTAATCAATAGTTCATATTTCTTCTTTTGGCTTGCTGCTTTTTCACAGAGGGGCCCCACTGCTAATAAAACATGAAGCCAGGTTATAAAACGGTTTAAGCAAATGTATACAGATATGATTAAAGCAATTATGCAGAAAAAAATAAGTTTATGCATTGCCATGTTACTAGATAAAGACACTAAAATACCCCAGGAATGCAGTTATTTATTGTGTATTTTCAAGCTGGATTCTTGTCATACAGTAGTATAGTAAAAGCGGGTGGGAAGATATCTTTGAAGTACTATTCTTGATTGAAATTTAAAGACATACAAGCTATATATCCTGCTGCCTATATGTATTTATTGGTGATTTGTTAGAAATATAAGGAATTATGAAGTAAAATATCTCA